ATTTTTCCTCATGTCCAATCTAAACCTCCCCTGGCGCAACTTGAGGCCATTTCCTCTCGTCCTATCGCTTGTTACTTGGGAGAAGAGACCGACACCCACCTCGCTACAACCTCCTTTCAGGTAGTTGTAGAGAGCGATGAGGTCTTCCCTCAGCCTCCTTTTCTCCAGGCTAAACAACCCCAGTTCCCTCAGCTGCTCCTCATCAGACTTGTTCTCCAGACCCCTCACCAGCCTCGTTGCCCTTCTCTGGACACACTCCAGCACCTCGACATCCTTCTTGGAGTGAGGGGCCCAAAACTGAACACAGTATTGGAGGTGCGGCCTCACCAGGGCCGAGTACAGGGGCACGATCACTTCCCTACTCCTGCTGGCCACACTATTTCTGATACAGGCCAGGATGCCATTGGCCTCCTTGGCCGCCTGGGCACACTGCCGGCTCATGTGTTCAGCCAGTGTACCAGCCTACAAAAATGGGCAGTGCAGTGCCGGTGCCTAGCCTGTGCTCTTTGCCATGCTGAGGCCACTTGTCCCTGATACACTGACATCTCGAGCAGTTTTGGTAGCCAGGTCAGTCAAGTCCCTTGATGTGCTACTTGTCCATCCTTTGAAAGAGCATGGAGTCTGGGCATAGACAGCAAGTGTCCACTGAGCCAGCTGCCATGGTTCAGAAGGTGAAATGGGTGTAAGTGCTGAGCCAGAAGCATGGGACCATGGTCAAGAAAGCAAATGCCTGTTGCTACTGCTGAAGGACTCCTTCATGCTCAGCTGGGAACTGCAGTGCTGCACCTAGAGGAGGGTCCATCGGGATTTAGATGTTTCTTCGGAGGTCGTCTGTTGCTCCATGCAAAGAGGGAAAATTAATTCCTGCAAGGAGCGGGACGTGCTGCTCCCTTCCCTTGGAGGAGGACCATCTCAGTTTCTGCTTCTCTATTGGCAACAACCTGATTATCTTCCCTGTAATCCGCATGTTTATGGATCCCAGCAGGATCAAATTAGGTTCATACCTGCAGATGCACTTGCTGCTGTTCGTACTCTGAATATGCTAAGAGGAGAGAGATGCTTTCTTGCAAGGCTGAGTGACAAACACCAAATTCTCAGTAGCTTCAGACTGACTTACACTGGTGAAGATACTGTAGGAGCGTGTGGTAGTTTCTGTGTAGTGAATGTGCAGCAGTAGGATTACTTTTGCTATTTTCTTCTTGACTGATAAGCATAAGGGCCAAGCTTGCTGGAAGGACTTGAACATTTGAGACTGAAGCCTGAGTGAGCTCTGGAAGGACCTGGCACACTAGGAGCAGGGGGCTCTCGCAAGTCTTGCTGAGAGTTGCAGACTTACCCCTGTGCACAGATGTCAGCATCAATTCAAGCTAGTCCTCTGCTGTTATTCTCTTGAATATTTTATATTCCAGCCCCATGTGCTTGAAGCGCTGGTACTTAACACCTGGGGAGCAGGCCTGAGCCAGACATGTCATGCAGGGCTGCAAGACAGAGAGCCTGACTAGTAGTGTCAGTAATTCAACGAGGAACAGGTTGTGTGCACAGGTAAGACAAGTGCACTAGAAATGGCCAGTCAGCATGAGAAGCAGGTGAGTGAGTGTTTCGAAGCCAGCAGCACTGCCTGTTTGTCCTGTGCACTTTGATTACAGCAAAGTGGTGCTCCCCCTGCCAGGAATCACCCTCCAAGGTGGAAGAGCAGATGTTGCTGGGTGGGGAGGCCAAAGGGAGGGAGAGAGCTGCCGGTCAAACTTCCCTGGTCTGAAAGTAAGTGGCCTCCCCAGAGTCACAAACAGGAAAGCAGGCTACAAAAGCCTTGGGAACTTCAGAGGTGTCCTGAGCTCTATTTCTCTCATTTCTTGCGGTGAAAGTCTTCTCACCTAGGTTCCAAACCAGCCCTCTGGATGCTGGCAGTGGCAGCAGTCACTCAGTTGCTGGGACAGCCGAGAGGGAGGAATCGTGCTGCTCAGGCAGTGCTGATAAACCCCTCTTGCATCCCTGGTGCTGCTCGTTTGCCACTAGCTCAGCAAAAGGATCTCATGCCGTGCTCCCTGCAGGCTGGCCAGCCGCTCCCAGCACCCTGAGGGTGGCTGAACTCGTACTTCAGCTTGGTGGTATGTAGAGAAATTATTGCCTATAACCTGTTCTACATCCCTTTTTCATGGTTTGCTATCACTCTTTGCAATTGCTATTTGACTGGGTAAGATGGTAACTGGGGAGCTGGGGTAAGTCTGACGGCTCTTCCTTGTAGGATTGTTACAGGAACCGCTTGTAACAATCAAAGGATGTCGTACGGGTACCCCAGCCTGTGGCTTCATGTCACCAAGGGCGCAGTAGGGCTGCTGGTGTGTGGCACTGCTGCAGCCTGCCTCTGCAGTGCTCAGCCTCTGCTGGCATTTGCCTTGCAGTCCCTCAGAGCCACTCCCCCAAATTCCCATCCGATGAGGGAGCAGCAATACCAGACTAGTGGAGTTTGTCTCTAAAATCGGGTTATGAGCACCGAGGAGAGCAATGCTCCTGAGCTGGGAGGGACAGATGAGCTCTTCTGCTAACTCCCACCCCAGGTGGAGGACACAGGGCGTGTTGATGAATGTGCTAAGCCATGCCTCTGCCAGCACTTGGATTTTTTTCCCCCTCTCTTCACAGGCAGGGCTGGGCCTGGCTAATTTTGCTGTATGTATCAGTGCTGAGGGTAAGCAGCTGTGCCAGCTTGGGATGAACAAGCTGGAGAGCAGGTTTCAACAGCATAAGAGCAAAATCCCCTCTTAGCCCCTGAGTACGTGATGATGGATCCTGTTAGGGCAGAAAGCAGGTCCTCACGCAGGAGCCTTCCTTGGCAGTAGGTGTGCTTGGTGTCTTTGGCTGATTTGCAGCAAAAAAAATAATTCTCTTGTTAGGACTCCAACTTCTGTGATCTTTGGTGACTGGGAGAATGAGATCAGGTCTGCTCATAAATCAGCAGTGCTTTTCCATGCTATTTTCTGAGAGCTAATGTCAGCCCTAGGGACTCTCCAGACCTTCTTTCCTTCCTTGTTGATTTTCCCTTCTTAGGCCCTGCTTAGCGAAGGCTTTTCTCCATCCATCACAGACAGTGACCAAGGCTCTAAGGGGCAGAAGGCCCCTGCTTCTTCCTCTGCAGGTTCCTGGTCTGCTGTGTGCTGTGGATGTCCATATCCATATATTCGCCCCGTACAATTGTATGTCCTAGCTCCCTTCTCTCCAGGATAATGCTGGTCAGGGCTACAGGCCTCAGCTTTCAGTTGAAGCCCTCTAGAAGAAGATGCTGCTGCGGTCCTGCCTCTGTGTGCACCCAAGAGGTTAAAGGCTGTTTGGATGATGGTCTGGTTCGGCTGGGAGGCAGGAGGTGGTGTGGGGACTTATGCTGGTGTCCTTGGGGAGCCTTTCAACATGAAGAGCATCAATGCATCCAGCAGTGTAGCATCCATCCACACGGAAGGGTCTGGCTGTGTTGGTGTGAGTCCATGAGCAGCCCATGAGGTTGAATTCAGGGTCCTTTCCCCTTTGGGAAGGACAACTCCTTTCTAGCTACAGGGGTTCACAGCCCATCCTCCTGGCAGGGCAAGACGGTGATGGATTGACCCTGGGCAGCGCTTGGAGCAATGGCTGCCAACTTTTGCACCCATCTCTTGCATCTGGCTGTTGCAGGAGGGGACTCGGTTGCCTCTGGAGATGGCAGTGCTCAGCCGGGAGAGGCAGCCTTTGGAACAGCCTCTGTCCATGCTCCCCCTGGCTGCACAGCCGGTCCCATCCCTTCATCTCCAGGGAGTGGTGCTATAGGACTGCAGAGCCCTCCAGGTCTTCCCAGGGACAATGCAGAGAGGATTTTCCAGCCTAGGAGGCTCTGCAATTCTAGCTCCTTCAGAG